GCGAGCCAACCAATCGGACACACATCCAACCAGCCACTCAAGTCGCATGCCACAGTCGCATGCCAGCCAACCAATCGGACACACATCCAACCAGCCACTCAAGTCGCATGCCAGATCGATGGTGGAACGACGAACGGGCACGCACACGCGCAAACTCTCTGACACACCGAAGCAGCTACTACAACTGCAGACATATTTTGCGTTCTAGGGTAGGCTCGAGGATTGCTCGAGTAGCTTGTCCTCGATTGTGTCACACTCTTTATGATCAATAATAAGTGCCGCGAAACTAGCGTGCTGAGATAAACAGCTCCAGTGTTCCCACCACTTTCTTGAAATAACTTCGATGGACATGAACATCAGTGAACTTGATCCTCAGAATAGTCATATATAGTGTATCGAAGAGGCCAACCAATGAGGGAACTGTGCCGCGCCCATAGAGCACCCGGACAACCAAAATCGGTATACGAGAAAATGGACCAAAATAACGAGATACACTCATTTGCAAGCCAATTTGGTTTTTCGAGAGACTCACCTGGAACCCAGCTGAATCTTCCGTTTGGGATAATTCCAGTCAACTCAATGTGCTGCACCTGACTGCCTCATGTTTTAGTCGCTACGATATTCGAGATATCGCGATAAAATATATTTTGTAATGCACTACTCACAAGGTCGCTGAAATTCGTCGACAGCCCACGACCGGCTTCGCCCCTCTTGGGGTTCGTAAGGTGGGCTCAGCTCTCGAATTTCCGTCAACCTCATGTTCCACTTGAAACCAAATTACACCAAATTAGTGAAGTGCACTCATTCGCAAACTTATTTGGTCTTTCGAGGGACTCACCTGGAACCCAGCTGAATATCACGTTTGTGACGATTTGTGATGATCCCAAATAACGGTTATGCGGTTCATAATCTCACAAGATGGCACGCAGACTCTTCAATGTGAAAAGAGTATGGAGTCATAGCAACTTCTTTTACCGTCAGGGGAAACATTTTCACCATCCATTGTAGCCTCAATATAAGGCACCCAAGGAATGAAATTTGACTACTGATATCAGTATGTGGCAGGGAGGTTTATGCACCGATCAGTATTTTGTTTGCGTTCACAGGGCGCTGAAAAGATGTGTTTTGGGTTTGATCACGATGGGCGATACGAACATTGTTCATTGAAACGAAATATCATGAGCACAAATACTTGTCTGTCGATTATTCTGGGCCACGTCACCAGAGGCATGCACTCCATACTCATGCATCAGCAACTCATATTCTAATCCAATGGCAGGTTAAAAGTTATCACGTGTCGAGGAAAATCGGGTGTTATTGATTGATCACTTGCCCACTAAGTGCAGGAGGCTCAACTGAAATACCAAGCAATGGTTTCCTTGTCCACTTTGTAACGGCTGGAGGCTGTAACAAACTCAGGCCGTTGTTCAAGCGCGGGTTTCCAGGCTGTCCCTTTTTCAACTTTCCTTCACTGAAATAATGGCTGGGTTTGTGTTAGCTGTTTTGTTCTTGCAGCTGGCGATGCTCAACCGTTAATGGAAAGGAGGACGTGAAATGCAGTTCCCGCAACGGATGTCACCAGAAATGACATCTGCTTTTGAACATTTCTGACCGCAAGACGCTGTCGCATGTGTTAACATTCATCCAAAGCACACGAATATAAACGCGTGAGGCAGGAAAATCTGAACTACTATGCGGTTATTAGGCGGGAAACTTTCGTGTGTGGGCGTGAATTTATATTCAGACGCACCCGAGAGCAAAAATTAGATTTTTCGCAGCAGTCCCAGCAAAGAGAATTACCGTAAATACTTCAAATAAGAAGTTTAATTGAAGTGTCAAAACACCGGTGGAGCATATGGACAAGTCCAGCAATGTTACCTTCGGTGATTTATGCAATTGTTGATTGTCAAATTACATGTATTGCAACGGAGTTATCTCTAGTTCCCTTAATCATGTCATAAAGCTTTAGTTGGTAAATTTTTTCGCGCGCATTTTATTGGACATGCTCCTTTGTTTCATGTGTACGATGCCTCCGAATCGATATTATCTAATCTTTTCAGCAAAGCTTGTTCGAACACGTTGGCTCTCCGAATTGTGGATAAAGGGGGCACAGCTGGCAAAAATGGTCGAAACGACTCAAGACATTTGCTTATATGTCAAATCATCTGGAACAGTTCCAAAAGCAAAAGCATTCGCTAACCATCTCGTAAAAACTTGTGATAGGATCACTGGAAGATT